ACAGAGTGTATTCTCTGACCATAATAGAATTAAATTAGAAATGAATAATAATAAGATATTTAGGAAAACCATGAATACTTGGAAATTAAATAGCACGTTTCTAAATGATTCATGGGCCAAAGACAAAAATCACAAAAGAGATTAGAAAATATTTTGAACTGAATGACAATGGATGCAGTATATCAAAGTTTATAGGATGCACAGAAAGCAATCCTTAGAGGGATCTATAGTCTTATACACTTATATCAGAAAAGAGGAAAGATTTAAAATCAAGGACCAAGATCCTACATTAAGAAATTAGGAAAAGAAGAGCAAAGTAAACACAAAGTACGTAGAAGGAAGAAAATCATTTAGAGAAGAGAATAAATCATTGAAAGAGAACCAACGATAGAGAAAATTAACAAAGCGAAAAGCTGGTTCTTTGAAGAGATCAACAAAATTGACAAACTTCCAGCTAGACTGATGAAGAAACAAAGGTAGAGAACACAAATCACCAATATCAGGAAGGAAGGAGGGGTTATCAACCACAGGTCCTTCCAAAATTAAAAGGATAATAAGAAAATACTTGAACAATTTTTTTTTGCCAACACATTCAAAAACTTAGACAAAATGGTCAAATTTCTTGGAAGATACAACTTACCAAAATTGACCTAAGAAAAACCAAACAATCTGAATAGTCCTATTTTATTTATTAAGGAAATTAAATTCATTATCAAAAACTATCCCACTGAGAAAACTCTATGTCCCAATGGTCTCAATGGCAAAGTCTATGAAAAATTTAACGAAGAAAAAATACTTACCTTACACAAAATTTTTTCACAAAATAGAAATAGATCATTGTCCAACTTCTTCTAAGATGACTGCATTACCTTGATATCAAAACATTCAAAGACATTACAAGAAAACTACAGATCAATATCCCTCACAATTATAGACATAAAAATCATTAACAAAATATTAACAAATGGGTGAAGGGGGTCAAAAAAGAGAAAATTCCAGTTATAAAATAAATAAGTCATGAGATGTAATGTACAGCCTGGTGACTTTGGTTAATAATACTGTATTGCATATTTGAAAGTTGCTAAGAGAGTAGATCTTAAAAGTCCTCATCACGAGAAAAAAAATTTGTAACTACATACGGTGATGATAACTAGACTTATTGTGGTGATTGTTTCACAATATATAAAAATATTGAATCATTACATTGTAAACCTGAAACTAATTTAATGTTATATGTCAATTATATATCAATAAAAAAATTAGCAAATGCAATCCAACAATGTATAAAAAGGAAGATACATCATGGCCAATTAGAATTTATCTTAGGAATGTAAGATCAGTTTAACATTTGAAATGAATCAACGTAAATCACCATATTAATGGAATACACTAGAAAAACCATATGATCATTTTAATAGAAGATGAAGAAGCATTTGGCAAAAGTCAACATCGCTTGATATAAATTTTCAGTAAACTATAAATAGTAGGGAACTCCCTCAGATTGATAAAGAGTACCTACAGAAAACCTTCAGCTGACATCCTGCTTAATGAAGAGAGACTGACTTGTTTTCTGCTGAGTTTGGAGACAAGGCAAGAATGTGTGATTTCACCACTTGCAGTACAGAGCATGGTGGTCAGAATTCAACAGAACTGCATTTGTATTCTTACTTTGCCACTTCAAACCACATAAGCTTGAGAAGTTTATTTAAACTCTCTGAGTCTCAGTTTCTGCATCTATGAAATGAATATAATAATGCTTACTTTGGGGGCTAAGTGCCTAGAGAAGAGGCTTAATTAATGACCTGAGTATTACATTTGCACCTACCCAATAGACTATAAGCTCTCTGAATGGAGAAGCCATTTCTCTTTTATTTACTTCCATATCTTCAGTGCTTAGTTCAGTGCCTGGCATATAGCAGGTATTGTGGAAAGATTTGTTGACTAAATTATTGAGATTAAAACAGTCATGAAAGGGACCTTAAAGATTGTTTAGCTTCCTAAGACTGGCCATTTCCACTGAAAAATAGTTTTCTTTTTTTTTTTTGGTGTGAGGAGGAGTAGCCCTGAGCTAACATCTGATGCCAATCCTCCCCTTTTTTCCTTGAGGAAGATTGGCCCTGGGCTAACATCCGTGCCCATCTTCCTCTACTTTATATGGGACACTGCCGCAGCACGGCATAACAAGAGGTGCGTCAGTGCACACCCGGGATCCGAACCTGCGAACCCTGGGCTGCCAAGCACAGCACGCGCACTTAACCGCTGCACCACGGGGCAGACCCTAGTTTTCTTTGATTTTGATGAAGTTCATATTGAGTCATTTATCTTCGCTTAATACTTGGCTGCTTTTGGAGAGTCTTACTCATGAATGCTTTGATTACAAGCAGTCCTCCACTCTGGCTAAGTTGATTTCCCCTCTCTTCCTCGAACATTCTAGCATTCTACCACTTCAGATTTTGCTTGGATCATCCTTGATGCCTGAAATGCTTCATTTCCTCTTCTCCTCAGTCAACATCCTACCCCATCTTCAAGGCCTTCCCATTAGGAGACCTTCTCTCATCTCACATTTACCTTGTCAGAAATGTTATTTCTCTTCCCTGAACTTTAGGAGAAATATAATTAAGAATAAAATCTCCTGCCAATGCATAAATTTCTCTCCACAAATATAGGAAAGACAGAACACAGTTTTATTATTCAATAAACATTAAACCAGACACTGATGTGCATCACAGACAATCTGCTATAGAGATTGCAAAGACAGAATGAAGTCTTACTCTCTTGGATAGCCAAGCAGATACAACCCATTGTATGCACGTTCTCAAGATAAGTGATAACTAGTTAAGTAAGAAGACTTGACAGCACCATTTGTCACACGTTAACGCATCCTGAATTCACCTGGTAATTGGAGTGGCTCCCTGTGTTTGCTAACTGCCATTATCCGAAGGAAGTTTTTTGTGTCTTTACCACAAGAGGTAGTTTTGCAACTTGGAACCAGGTTTTCTGCCAAAGTTAGGATCCTACTCTTCCATGGAAACTGGGAGATAGGGGTGCTGTCCTCCCCGATGATTACATTTTAAAAAGATGGCTCCCAGATCCTTGAGAAAAACATTCCTGGGTTGTAAAACTATCAGAAGGCTTATTTAGCTTTATAAAGATTTATGTACATCTCAAAGAGGCAGAAAAAGAATTTACAAATATAAATGTTCTAAAGAAAATGCTCTAAGAGAAGGGAAGTGGGGAGTCTCTTTCCTTTTTTTGTGCTAGGGAGACTTTTTTTTTCTTATTTTTAGTTTGTATTTGCCCTTACAAATGCACGTAGCCTTTTTGGCACTAATGCCATTAAAATGCTGTTTCATTGATGGAGGTATTTGTGTACTCCTCATCTCTTTTTCTTGCTAGATCATGGCAGAAAATGTTTCCTGTGCATTTGTGCTATGGCACCTGATGTGTCCCTTGTACATTACTGGAGGTTAATTAAAATTGATTGAATAATCAGTATACCTGTGTGGTGTAGAAGCCAAAGTTTGGTTACATTTCAAAGCCACTTTACTTTCAAATATGAATCATCTCTTCTGTTATTATGGTGTTAAATTTACTTTGATAAATGCTCTTTGGAGAAAGGAACAAAAATCAGTTGCAAGTGCAAGTTTTACATGCTACTAACTTCTGCTCAATATTTCATAATGTCTTTTAAATGCCACATTCAGAACCTTCAATATGGAAGGGATGGCAATGAAATTATGAGTCAGAACCCTAGTATAGACAGGACAGAAACTACACAAAATTTAATCCAGTTAGACCTTTGTCCACCAGAATTCTCCAAGAGAATTATCCCCTAACGCTGTAAGGTGGTGGTTCTCAATGTGTGTTTCCAGACCAGCAGCACTGTAACACCCAGGAGCTTGTTAGAAATGCACATTTTCAGGTTCCACACTGTACCTTCGGATTCAGGAACGATGGGGGTGGGGTCCAGCAGTCTGTTTTAACAAGCCCTTCACGTGGTTTGGATATTCGCTAATGCCGAGAACCACTGATCTAAAACATCCGCTGCATGCCAAGAATTAACTTCTTTTCCTTGTATCTAATACTAGTTATGTACCATTCTTGGGAGATTGGAGAAAACAGCCACTCAAATAATTATTTTTGTTTTCAGGTTGAGAAAGCCTGGATGAGATTTGAGCTCTTTCAATTTACCATCCACCCTGCAATAATGCCAATACACAGGACAAAGGGTGACACGGCTGGGACCTGGAATCCTGGACGTTCATTTGTGGGCCTGTTGTCCTTTTATTCAGCCCCATCTCCGGCTTTGATCATCAGTTCACAAGCATCCCCAGTCTCTTCTGTCTCGCATTGCTTGAGATGTTGTGGTCCTCTGTGACTCGGCTTCAAACTATTCTCTTGGGAACTGCCTCCTCAAGGAGCCTGTGTAGGTGCACCACATACATTTCATGGAAGCTGCCTGTCTTTCTGGTACTGGTTCTAGGGGAATCAGTAGTAAGAAAATAGTACCTATGGCTGCCAAGTTGGAAGGATGCCAGGTGTACTTAATTTAGTTAAGCTAAGCAAAACCTAAGAACTTCAACATTAAATCAAATTGTGAGAAAAAAATAGGATAATATCTCCCACTCTTTGAGGGCTCTATTTGTTAACAACTGTGGTGGATGGTGGTTTATACTTCAGAAAGAAAAGCCCAATAAAATGGGGGAAGTATTGAGGTTTTAAGGGGACCACAGAGAAATGGAGCACCCTGCAGGAGAAATGCCAAGGAGAGCTCCCAGAGTGGGTGGCAAATGAAGAAGGGACTTAGGATAACATGTCTAATGAGAATTTATATTAGTTTGCTTTGTGGTGCGTGATGTAAGTCCTATTTTGTTGCTCAAGGAAAAATCTTTAACAAAATCTACGTTGCTCATTAATGCTTTTAACATGAGTGAATTCTCTTTAGAGAAGGGAACTCGTGTTGGGTTTTGGGTGGTTTAAGCACAGTAAAGAGCAAAAACAGACTCGATATGGGACATCTGACATCTGGGTTCCATTAGTCTTTATGAGTGTTAGTTTAAAATTATTTTCACAAAGATGATGACTCCTGGCTGTTTTCTAGCTTTCTTAAAGCCAGAATAGAGAGAATGGTTTAATTAAAAAGTAATTCAAAGATTAAGTTGATTTAAGAAGAATTCCCCAACAGTGGTACTGCTAAATATTGGTATGATTTCAAAAAAGGTATTCAAGAATCAAATGGGGGTGAAAAAGTTCTCTTATCTCTTTCTTTAGATTAAGGCTCCTTTTCAAGATCCATTTTCATTTGGCCGAGAGGATAGGAATTATGTCCCCTTACCCTAGTCCCGTTCTGTTTAAGCCTGTTCAGGGACTGCATCTTGGGATCTTTTCTCCATCCTCAGCTTGGCAGGATACAGCTAGAGTAGGTCATGCTCCACTAGCCAAGGAGGCTATGAGGTGGTCTTTGGCTACTCTTGACACAAAGACCAAGAGCCTCTCCATCTCCCCCAAGTGCAGAGCTCATCTCTTCAATTTCTCACATTTTTATGGAAAGCCATTTAGCTTGAACTCAGCTATCTTGATCTCTCATGTTTACATATGCTATTTAATACTGTTTTCCAAGTATGTGAAAACTTTTATACTGAAGATGGTGGTTTAGTTTGGTTTAAGACAACAAATATCCTCCAATTATAAACATCGACTTAGAAAATGACTAGGATTTTGATGAATAAACAACTTTTTTCTCATCCCAACCATCTCACTAAAAGCTTCTGTTAGCCATCTGGGTGCTCAAGTCAGAACCCTTGGGGCCAGCTCTAACACTTCTCTTCCTTTCATATCCCACATCAGATCTATTTCCAAACCAAAGTAATTTCATTTTCAAGTTACAGCTAGACCCTGGCCACTTCCCTCCATTTTCACTGTCACCACCCTAGTCCAAGTCACCATCACCTCTTATCTGGACCACTGCAAGATTTTCCAGCCTGGTTTCTCTGCTTCCATTCTCTCCATTCAGTTGTCATAAAGCAGATACAGTGTTCTACTTAAAATGTAAATGGAATCATGTCACTTTCCTGCCCCAAAGCCTTCAGCGATTTCTCAATGTGTTTGATAAAATCCAAACTCCGGAGCATGCCCACATAATACTTGACCCTGCTTACCTCTCTAAGCACATTTGGTGCTATTTTCCCCCAATGCTTTGGATTACTAGATTGCTTACCTAGTTCAGTTGTATTGAGATGAACAGTATTTGCAGACTTACCAACGCTTAGCCTATAGCCAGAGCCTACAGAGTTTTTCTGACAGCTCATACTTAATTAGATATGATTGGCATTTCCGTTTCCTCACTAAAGCATTTAACCTTAGATAAACATGCACCACGAGTTTAGCTACTGTAGAGACATGTCTTCCTCAATTAAACTTGAAACTGTTCCCTACCTCTTTCAACGTGCCAACTACTTTTAGTTTTTTGAACAATCATGCACATATTTCTTTGGGCATTTTTATTCTGGATCTATAATAGTATAAAATGTATCACGCAGGCAAAGTGTATGTCATAGGTAACACATCACACGAAATGTCTTATTTCTGCCTTGATCACCATGGAAGAGTGTCAGACATTTAAAAAAATCTGCTCTTCTTCAATGTTAATCATAAAATTTTCTGAGTGATTGCTCAATGTTATGTTTTTAAGGGAAAACAGCTGGATTGCATTAATTCACAGTTATTGATGATTTAGACATATCATGAATGAGTCAATATTTTTTTTAAGCAGTATCTTTTTTTTTCAGTTATTTTATTGAGGTCATAGTGGTTTATATCATTGTGTAATTTCAGGTGTACATTATTGTTTATCAGTTTCCGTATAGACTATATCATGCTCACCAAAAATACTCTGATTTTTATCCGTCACCATACATATGTGCCTCCAACCCCTTTCCACTCTGGTAACCACTAAACTGTTCTCTTTATCTTTGTGTTTATTTTCCACATGTGAGTGAAATCATATGGTGTTTTTCTTTCTCTGTCTGGCTTATTTCTCTTAACATCATAACCTCAAGATCCATCCATGTTATTGCAAATGGGATGATTTTGTCTTTTTATGGCTGAGTAGTATTCCATTGTATATGTATACCCCATCTTCTTTATCCAATCTTCAGTTGACGGGCACTTGGGTTACTTCCACACCTGAGCTATTGTGAATAATGCTGCAATGAACATAGGGGTGCATAAATTTCTTTGAATTGTTCATTTCAAGTTCTTTGGATAAATACCCAGTAATGGGATAGCTGGATCACATGGTATTTCTATTTGTAATTTTTTGAGAAATCTCCATACTGTTTTCCATAGTGGCTGCGCCAGTTTGCATTCCCATTAGCAGTGTATGAGGGTTCTTTTGTCTCCACATCCTTTCCAACATATATTTTTTGTCATGGTAATCATAGCCATTCTGACAAGTGTAAGGTGATATCTCGTTGCAGTTTTGATTTACATTTCCCTGATAATTAGTGATGCTGAACATCTTTTCATGTGCCTGTTGACCACCTGTATATCTTCTTTGGAAAAATGTCTGTTCATATCCTCTGCCCGTTTTTTGATCAGGTTGTTGGTTTTTTGTTTTTGAGTTGTATGCCTTCTGTGTATATTTTGGAGATCAACCCCTTGTTGGATATATGATTTGCAAATATTTTCTCACAGTTGGTGAATTGTCTTTTCATTTTGTTCATGGTTTCCCTTGCCTTGCAGAATTTTTTAATCTGACGTAGTCCTATTTGTTTATTTTTTCTTTTGTTTCCCTTGCCTGAGTAGACATGGTATTTGGAAAGATGCTGCTAGGACCGATGTCAAAGAGTTTACTGCCTATATTTTCTTCTAGGAGTTTTAGGGTTTCAGGTCTTACATTCAAGTCTTTAATCCATTTTGAGTTAATTTTTGTATATGATGTAAGATAATGGTCTACTTTCATTGTTTTGCATGTGGCTGTCTAGTTTTCCCAACACAATTTATTAAAGACACTTTCCCTTCTCCATTGTGTGTTCTTGGCTCCTTTGTTGAAGATTAGCTGTCCATAGATGTCTGATTTTATATCTGGGCTTTCGATTCTGTTCCGTTGATCTGTGTGTCTATCTTTGTGCCAGTACCATGTTTTTTTGGTTACTATAGCTTTGAAGTATATTTTGAAGTCAGGGATTTTGATGCCTCCCGCTTTATTCTTTTTTCTCGGGATTGCTTTAGCTATTCAGGGTCTTTTGTTGTTCCATATAAATTTTAGGATTCTTTGTTCTATTTCTGTGAAGAATGTCATTGGAATTCTGATTGGGATTGCATTGAATTTGCTGATTGCATTAGGTACTATGGACATTTAACTATGTTTATTCTTCCAAACCATGAGCATGGAACATATTCCCATTTCTTTATGTCTTCTTCAATTTCTTTCAATAATCTCTTACAGCTTTCAGTGTATATAGGTCTTTCATCTCTTTGGTTAGATTTATTCCTACATATTTTATTCTTTTTTGTTGTGATCGTAAATGGGATTTTATTCTTGACTTCTCTTTCTGCTAGTTCCTTATTAGTGTATAGAAATGCAACTGATTTTTTTGAGTTGATTTTGTACCCTGTAACTTTGTTGTAGTTGTTGATTATTTCTAACAGTTTTCTGGTGGATTCTTTAGGGTTTTCTATATACAGAATCACTTCATCTATAAACATCAAGAGTTTCACTTCTTCCTTTCCAATTTGGATAATATTTATTTCTTTTTCTTGCCTAATTGGTTTGGCCAAAACCTCCGGTACTATGTTGAATAGGAGTGGCAAGAGTGGGTACCCTTGTCTTGTTCCTGTTTTCAGAGGGATAGCTTTCAGTTTTTCACCATTGAGTATGATGTCGACTGTGGGTTTGTCATATATGGCCTTTATTATGTTGAGATACTTTACTTGTATACCCACTTTATTCAGAGTTTTTATCATAAATGGATGCTGGATCTTGTCAAATGCTTTCTCTGTGTCTATTGAGATGACTGTGTGATTTTTATTCCTCATTTGGTTAATTTGGTGCATCACATTGATTGATTTGTGGATGTTGAACCATCCCTGCATCCCTAGTATGAGTCCCACTTGATTATGGTATATGATACTTTTAATGTATTGCTGTATTCGGTTTGCCAATATTTCGTTGAGGATTTTTGCATCTATATTCATCAGCGTTATTGGCCTGTAATTTTCTTTCTTTGTATTGTCCTTGTCTGGTTTTGGTATCAGGGTGATGTTGGCCTCATAGAATGAGTTAGGAAGCTTTCCATCTTCTTCAATTTTTTGAAATAGTTTGAGAAGCATAGGTATTAAATCTTCTTTGAATGTTTGGTAGAATTCTCCAGAGAAGCCATCTGGTCCTGGACTTTTGTTTTGAGGGAGTTTTTTGATTACTGTTTCAATCTCTTTACCTGTGATTGGTCTATTCAAATTCTCTATTTCTTCTTGATTCAGTTTTGGGAGGTTGTATGAGCATAAGAATTTATCCATTTCTTCTAGGTTCTCCAATTTGTTGGCATATAGTTTTTCATAGTATTCTCTTATAATCCCTTGTATTTCTGTGCTATCTATTGTAATTTCTCCTCTTTTGTTTGTAATTTTATTTATTTGAGGGTTTTCTCTTTTTTTCTTAGTGAGTCTGGCTAAGGGTTTGTCAATTTTGTTTATCTTCTCAAAGAACCAGCTCTTAGTTTCATTGATCCTTTCTACCATTTTTTTTTTCATATCTATTTCATTTATTTCTGCTCTAATTTTTATTATTTCCCTCCTTCTGCTGACATTGGGCTTTGTTTGTTCTTCTTTTTCTAGTTCTGTTAGGTGTAGTTTAAGATTACTTATTTGAGATTTTTCTTGTTTGTTGAGGTGGGCCTGTATTGCTATTAATTTCCCTCTTAGAACCGCTTTTGTTGCATCATGTAAGAGTTGATATGAGTTGATATGTTGTATTTTCATTTTCATTTGTCTTCCAGGTTTGTGTTGTGAGTTTGTGACTTAATTGAAGTGTTTATTGTTACTTTTGATGCTTTCCTTCCCTTTATCTTTTGTGTTATAATTAAGGGTTTGCTAACCTGTTCTGATAGAGAGCTGCAATTTTTGTCTGACTATTTATCTCCTTGCTCAAAGTTTTGTAAACCTTTGCCTTTTTTTTTTTTCAGGTATGAGGGCTTCCTTCAACATTTCCAGTAAGGAAGGTCTAGTGGTGTTGAACTCCCTCAGCTTTTGTTTATCTGGGAAAGTTTTATTTCTCAACATATTTGAAGGATAGTTTCACTGGATAGAGTGTTCTTGGTTGAAAGTTTTTGTCTCAATATTTTGAATATATCATTCCATTCTCTCCTAGCTTGTAAGTTTTCTGCTGAGAAATCCACTGAAAGCCTGATAGGGATTTCTTTGTAGGATATTTTCTTCTGCCTTGCTGCCCTTGTTATTTTTTCTTTGTCATTGACTTTTGCCAGTTTTACTATTATATGCCTTGGAGAAGATCTTTTTGCATTGATGTAAATAGGAGTTCTATTGGCTTCATGTACTTGTAAGTCCAGTTCTTTCCCCAGGTTTGGAAAGTTCTCAGCTGTTATTTCTTTGAATGAATTCTCTGCTCCTTTCTCCCTCCCTTCTCCATCTGGGATATCTATAATCCCTATGTTGCATTTCCCAATTGAGTCAGACATTTCTCAAGGAAATGTCTTCATTTTTAAAAAATCTTAGTTTTCTCTACTCCTCCAGCTGAAGCATATCTATATTTCTATCCTCTAAATCACTAAGTCTGTCCTCCATAAAGTCAGCTCTGTTATTTAAGGATTCTAGATTATCTTTTATCTCATTAATTGTGTTCTTCATCTCCAGAATTTCTATTTGGTTCTTTTTTTTTTTTTTTTTAGAGTTTCATTCTCTTTCGTGAAGTATTCCTTCTGCTCATTAATTTTGCCCCTGAGCTCATTGAACTATCTTTCTGAGTTTTCTTGTAACTCATTGAGTTTCTTTATGACAACAATTGTGAATTCCCTGTCATTTAGATTGTAAATTTCTGTGACTTCAGGATTGGTTTCTGGAGACTTGTCATTTTCCTTCTGCTCTGAAATGTTACTCTAGTTTTTCATGGTGTTTGATGAACTGATCCTTTGCCAGGGCATTTGTAGGAGTATCAGGTCACAGATTCCACCTGCCACCTCTGGGGGGAGAGGGCAGGAGCTGTGTTTTCTGAACTGCATCTGCTGGAAGTTGTGCCAGTAGGGCTCATCTCTGTTTGCCTGCTGGCTGCAGCCACTTGGAGGTTCACATATGCATGCACAGGTGCTCTGGTGTGGGGTTGCTGCCTTGGCACTAGGCGGGAGTGGAGGGGCACTTTCTTTCACACACACTGGCCATCTCTATGCTCACGCGTGGTTCACCTGAGCTGCTGTACTTGGTGGGGGTTCCTTTATGGGGGCTGAACCACACCACTCCATGGAGAGCATTTCCATCCGTGGGGCCACTGTGGCACGGTAGGCACTCTCACAGCTGGGCTGCAATTCCAAAAGCAAAAGCATTGGTGTGCAGGCAAAGCTGTCCCCTGCCTCCTTTTATAGTCATGGACCAGCTGCTGTATGAGGACCCATGACCTAGGTCACTGCCACCCGGGATGGGGAGGGATCTGCTCACCTCTTTCCACTGCTTCCTGGGTATCCAGTCCCCCCACCTTCAGATGTCTGACTGCATGAGTCTCTCAGATGTCCTATTATGCTTTGTAGGGAATCCTCTGCTAGTTAATGAATGTCTGTTTCATTGTAACTTAGGGGGAGAGACTAAGAGAACAGCTCACTCCACCATGATGCTGATGTCACTCTTCTCAAATGAGTAAATATTTTAAGGAAATAAAAAACCATGTTCTTTAGCAAATCCAATTTGTATACAATTTATTTTCTGATTAAAAATGATTCTTATCTATTCATTAAGATTTGCCCATGGGATGTCTATTAGGGTATGTTGTTAGCTCAGACAATGTTATAAGTTTCATTTCATTTTCATTTTAGAGATTCACCAAAACTGGTCCAATTTTTGCATTATATGTACCACTTACAACTACATAAGCTTCAACGCTCTTCTCTGCCTATGAAGGTTATAATTTTTACCTCATAGAGTTCTATGAAGATAAGATACGAATATAGTCAAATTTGCAAACACAATAAAACAATTCAAAGTTTAGGTATTATAAGTATATCATTTAAAAAATATACTGGGCAGCTATCATGTTTAGAGTACTATGCAATAAACTGATGATACAAAGAAATACATGAAAATACCAATCCTTGAAGAATTTATAGTCTAGATGGAGAAAAAGCATCAGTCCACGTCTGCAACTTTGAGTTGGGTGATCTGCCCTGGGGGCCAGGTAGACAGCATCCAGTAAGAGTGAGTTCCTGGTCTTGCATTTTCACACCTGCACCACAATCTGCTCATTTCTTCCTGCCTCCCAGTCCACTTCCTAGTCAGTTCCTGACTCTAGCCTCACTGTAGTATCTCTCTGCCTGAGCACTTACCCCTTGGGTATAAAACTGAAACTGATCTTCAGTGACTCTGAGACTAACCTCCATCCCTCTTCAGCCAGCCCTACTTTAGACTGTGTGTGCTCCCTACTGTCCCCAATAGTAACTCTGACTGAGAGAGTCTCGTTCCTGCTAAGAATGCTTTCTGTCCCATGGAAGGAAATCAGGCACATAGTACACTTACAAATAAGGATAAGCCATAATATAAAGTAATACCAACTAAGAACCCCATAAGGGATTCACAGACAATAAGTGCAATAGAAGTTCAAGGAGAGAGTGATCCTTGAGAGCTGGACAAATCAGAGACAGTTTCCAGAGGAAGTGGGACTTGAGATGTTATTTGTAGGAAGGGCCAAGGCTAGACAAGCAGAGGGTAGGCATGAGGCACTCCAAAAAAGCAGAAGGAAGTAATCACAGGGCAGAGGAGAAAGTTGTGACATAAAACCGTCAGCTAAAGAGCAGATTCTTCAATGGGTTGATATAATGTTGTATTGCTGTTTTATTTCCTTTTCACATAGGCCACCATGGGAAGCATGACTTCCAAGTCTTCCAAGATCATCTGGACTCTCACATCCATAAGGCTCTGTGCACCTCCTAGCACTTCCATCCTTTCTTCTACCTCTCACTGCATCTTCTGGAACTTATTCATCAGCAAAATCCTCTATGCCCTCAATCTCTGCTATGAGAGTTCCCTTCACCTGCTTGTTCTTGCTGGACTCCTAAGGGCACCACTCTTCCAGAAGGCCTCATTTTCTCTCTCACATTCCTGATACCACTGTGTTGAGATGTATGGCATGTGTTCCCTCTTGCTCCACATTGTTGCTTGCAGGACGTTTCTCACTCCTCCCTAATCTTCAAACTTTGAATCTCATGCCATCACATATCCACTACCCTACTCCACTACCAGCCTCAAAAATCTTCAGGTCCCTGAGTCATTTCATGATGACTTTAGCCCCTGGCTCATAGTTACTCTTTCCATCACTACTCCTGCCCTCATTTTTGATGACTTTAGTATCCACAAGGATCATCTCTCCAATATCCTGGTTTCTCAGATCTTTGACTTCTAACAAAAATGCTACCCACCTCAGTTAAACACTCTCATGGTCGACACTGGCCCTTGTCATTACCATCAACTGCATCCTCCATTATCTTGATTTTGAGCATTTGGGTCTCTGACCATTTCAGCTCACTCCACTCTTAGCCAGAGCCAAAAAGTATTGTTGACCCCATTGAGACCAACAATCCATTGATCCTATCACTTTTTCATAGTTCCTTCCCCCTCCACTCATGTCCCTACTTCTCTTCTTAGATTCTAGATGTCATCATAATCATTTCCTTACGTGAACCCTCAACTTCTTTGTTCCTCTTTCCTGTATCCATACTCATCTGGTAAAACTTGAACCTGAATGAAATCCAGCTCTCCCTATCCTTCCCATTTGTACCATGCAGTGAATGTAGCTGGGGAGAAATGAACAACTATGCTGACTGGTAGTGCTGTCCAGCAATTCCAAATTACATTTTCCTGACTTGCTACTCAAAGTGTGGTTCATAGTCCCACAGCATCAGGATCAGAGAGATTGTTAGAGTGCAGAATCTCCATTTCTGGCCCAGATCCACTGAATCACAGTCCACTTTTAAGAAGGTCCCCAGGTAATTCAAGTGCACATTGAAGTTGGAGAAGGATGCCCTAGGGGACTATTTAAGACACTTTTTCTTCTCAGACATCCAACACCTCTACCCTATCCTTATTCTCAGCTGATAACTTTATTTCCTGTTTCACTGAGAAAAAAAAAGCACAATTAGAAGAGAATAGCCACGTTTCCATCATTATGTCTACCAAATTCACAGAATCTGTACTCATAGACTCTGTCCTCTCTTCCATTACTGTGAGTGAACTGTGTCCGCTCCCATATAAGGCCATCCTCTCTCCTCATGTGCTAGCTCCCTTGCCCTCTGCTATCCTCAAGATTACTTCAACAACAGTACTTTTTCTCTCCTATGTCCTTAATTTTTCCTTCTACTGAGTCTTTCTTATTAACATCCTACCATTCTATAATTTCTCTCATCCTAAAAATGAAGCACACGTAAAAAATAAAGCACTCACCAGATGCGGCATTCTCATCAAGCTACCCATTTCCTTGTTTTCCTTTACAAAAACCCCCCTAAAAGATTTCTCATTCTTCTTCTTTCTCCCATCCTTTCTCTCCCTCTCGTTCTTTCTCTTCCCTTGCCCTTCCTTCCTTCTTCTCTCCCTCTTTCTCTTCGTTCCTTCCTTCCTTCCATCTTTCCTCTTCTCCAGTCAGACTTTCGTCCCACTATGCCACTAAAACTGCTCCTCTTGTGGACACCACTGACCTGTACATTGCTAAATCCAATGGTCAATATGTCCGCTTCTCATTTGACCTGCAGCAATATTTGCCTAGTTGATCAATCTTCCTTTTAAAAACACTTTCTACCCTTGAAACAATAAAAGCCTGAAAATGTCTTACTCTCCCCTCACACTTGATTCATAGTTTAAGTTTGGAATTCTAGGTTAAATGTATGATTCTCTTAGGATTTTTAAAACATTTTCCCTTGTCTTCTGGACTCAAGTGTTGTTGGAAAGAGTGGTGTCCTATAATTCCTAATCCTTTGTATTTGACTTGCTTTTTCCTTCTGGATGATTTTAGGATCTACAATTTGTCACCAGTGTTCAAAGATTTAACAATGATGTGATGTTTTTGTGGTCTATTTTTAA